CACAGACTCACCCGGAACATTGCCTTTCTAGATCCATCACGGTGACTCACCTACATCACGGTAACTCACTCATACTTGCAGACTACAGGCCTCCGGCTTCGCGCCGAATGGCCAGTATCCTTTACACGCTGAACTCACAGGGGTCCTTCATAGGCCCTGTAGGACCGACCCCCCTGTTCAGAGATCTCGTTATTACTTATCACAAGGGGGCCGGACATGACTCTCCCAGCCCGATCGGCCTCAGTAGATGGGAGTCGGTGTTCAGATACGGGGGGGGAGATTGGGCTCCGTTTTCCCAAGGGCCCTTCTCTCTGAGTTCCCGCTCCCCCTTACACTCCCTGTAGTTTTCATAAACTGTACCGCAATGTTGTTTGAGGTGTACACTGTTTAACTGTTTATGGGACGGCCGCCGTTTCTCCCCCTGATTATTCTCACCTCTCATGTTGACCAGGGGGGAGTTTCATCAGACGGAGAATGAGTGATGGATGTGTGGGGGCGACGGAGACGGGCGGTCCTGGGGTCAGCCTTTAGCTCCCTGCGAGGCGTAGTTGAGACGCAGGGGACCCCTGGGGCTGCCTCCCCCTGTCGCTCCACACTCAAATACCGGGGTACACCCCCCCTTCCCGGATCTCCGGACCCTTCGGGGAGGATATCCTCTCCGACCCGACATGGTCCCGATTTCTGGTTGCCTGACCCGGCTGTGGTTCATATTTTCATTATTGTTATAACTGGTTCTGTTTAGGTTTATATGTTTCTTACTGACCCACGGAGCCCGGCTCCGCGGTGGTCAGACTAGTTCCCCCACTAGTTGTTCCCTGCAGTGCCTTTTGGTCCACAGGGACTGTGAACTTGGGTTCACCTGTTAGTTAAGTTCACTCAAGGGATCCTAATCCCCCTTGACTTCACGTTACCTACCTTCACCCACGAGTCTATCCAATCCCCTTTGTCTCTATTGGTTCTGTTGTCCTTCCCCTGTCCCCCTACAACCCTACCTCTTCCCTCCCGTCTGTATACCTCGATAGGATGCCTGACGTGAATAATCTCAAAATCTTATCTCTGAATGTTAGGGGCCTCAACGTGCCCGAGAAAAGGAGGATGGTGCTCACGGATCTACACAGCCAGAAAATACAGGTGGGTTTCTTCCAGGAGACGCACTTTGCCGAGGGTAGGGCTCCCCCCCCCTCCGAGATCGCCACTACACGGTATCATACCATAGCTATTCCCCAGACAAAAAATCCAGAGGTGTGAGCATTCTGTTTCACCGATCGGTGCCCTGGCAGTTGGGGGAGGTGTACGCAGGGGAGGAGGGCAGCCTGCTTATGGTCAAGGGCATAGAAGGAAGCAACAGGGGTTAAAACTACAATCCAATCTTCTTTCCCAGATACACGAGCTCGAAATCTTACACAAAAGACGCCAAGACCCGACTCTACTATCCCAACTACGTGACCTACTCACCTTTCTGGACACAGGTCCGCCTCATTGTGAAAAAATTCACTGACCATACCGTCCCGGATGACCCGGCTTTCTTCCTTCTCCACCATAACCATTTCCCAGTGAAAAGCTATTCCCACTCGGTCCTGGTGCATTTACTGAATGCAGCCAGGGCATGTATACCTCTTCTATGGAGACAGGCTTCCCCTCCCTTGGTTCAAATGTGGTTCTCCAAAATAAACGATATTCGATACATGGAAGATCTAACCTGCTCTTAAGAACCAGACAAAATTCACTATGCATATAGCCTACTTTACAGAAAATTCCATTGGAAAGTGAACAGCCTATGTGCCTTTAAATAAATCAACTCCCGGGTGTCCTCACTTCCCTTCTAATAGTGAACAGAAAATGTGGGACTGCACACCACTTCGACTGTGTATTCAAAGGCAACTTGATTGAACAAGTGGCAGAAACACTCTAACCTGTTCCCCTCATTTTTTGCATGTTTATACCCCACTGGCACTTAATTGTAGAGAGCTTCCTACTTATAGGCAGTGCTTATCTTTGCCAATGTACTGATTGCACTGACTTCTGTTGTCTGTGCATGTGTCAAGTATGTGTAGACTGTACATACATCAGCACCAGGTGATGCTATAAAACACTCAGGACGTGCAGTCAGAATTGAAAATTGATCCATGAAATGCATCCAAGGCACATATCCTACCTGCTTATGGCTTCAGATTAGAATTCAGATTTAGCTGTAGTACTCCCTTTCACACCACTTTTCTTTAGTCTGTAATTTGGTGATTTGGGAACCCCTGTTCTTGCCTGTGCAGGAGAGCTATCCCAAACACACCCAACTGTGAAATCCTTGCTTCCCCTTTTTACAGAAAACATGTATCACAACATCAGTACTATCTTGTTTCTCAGCCACAAGTTAAAGGGGAAGTAGCGCATGTTCACTTTGCAAAGTTTCCTAACTTTTCACTTAGCTTAGTGATTGACATGAAGCTGTGTTCACTTTGAATACACAATGTGCAAGAAAGACTATAAAAAAAAAGTATTTTTGCTCTCACACAATTAGATGATTGAAGAAGGCAAAGCTTCCCCACATATGCAAAGCTAAGTGAACTTTCACTTTGCTAAGTGAACTGGCTATACTTCAAAATCCCCCTCATTGTGTTTTATAGGTGTTAGATTTTGTTTGTTTTTATTGCACTGTAGTGCCAGAAAGGTACAACTAGGCTTTAGGCTATACTAAGCCCATTTTCCATTGCAGGGCATGGCACCCAGATTTGCTTTGAGGCCCCCTCCCCAGTAGCACAAACTCACCTTTCTTTGGCTCCCCCCACCTCTGCACTTAGCCACCCGGAGTGACAAGAAAAAAAAATGCAGTGCTTTCATATATGGAAGATTATGTGGTCCACTCTCCTTCTTCACATGTTATAGCACTGGTGTTTGGCTATTAGCTGAAGTGTCACTTGTTGGCAGGGAGAATAATCTCCGACTAAAGCAATATGGAACTTACACAGGGCTTCCGTTGCTCACTCCTAGCTGTTAAATGGAGCAAAAAGGTATGTACAGTATATGCTACTAAGGAGGGAAACATTTAAGTGAACCTTTAGCTTTGCCCTGCATTGTCAACGCACATGTTTACTTTAAAGTGTATCTAAACCCAAGCACACAAATGTTATATATTGCAGCTTACCAGTCCTTAGATGTAGTGGTTGCATTAGCTTTCTTTTTCAGGTTTTTTTCCCCCCTTTATTTTCACCTGGTGATACTGCCAGTAACACTCCTCCAGTCCTAGGGGGACAACGCTCATTGTACTGCATCTATGGAGGGGTAGCATTGTCAGCATAGGACAATGATAGGACAACAGAACATCTCCCCCCTCTGCTCTTCTCCATAACATGGGGGGGGGGGGTCTATAATTCACAGAGAGAGCTAGGAAAAATTCACAGACAAAATGCTCAGGAAGCTATAATCTCGCAAGAGTTCTTGCAGGATCAACAGAATTGTTTTTGCACTTGTCAAACAGATATAAGAACATACTTTTATCCGTGAATATAACAGAACAAAGGGAGCAAATAAGAGGAGTTCATTGTTAGGATTTGCATACACTTTATGAATAGTTGCACTGTATCCTGATTAGCCTTAGTTTATTGATTGGTTCCTCTGGTTGTCTGGAATTGCTTTTTAGGCCCTGCCAAAATAAGACGCCACTGATTTAGAGCACACACACCCCTATTGGTGACTTCATTTATTTAAACAATTTTCCCATAATAATTTATGTGCATTTAACGTATTTTACACATCCTCCCTTATGTAGACATCCAAAAGCCCTGAAATACCATCTTTGATGTAATGTAAGTAGCCTCTGCAGGCTTAGAGCTGCCACTTAAAATGATAGTAAACTCAGGGGTTAAATCTTAAAACTAATCTTAAAAAATCTTAACTATTAACAAAAATGTATCTTATTTGTGTATCACTCAGCTGTAGATCCTCCAATCATCTCTGAATACATTAGAACTTTTTCCATGTACGAAAGTTCGAGTCAGAACCGAACACGGGGGTGTTCGGCTCATCCATAGTAACAATCACCATAGCGACCCAGGCGGCCGCTATGGGGCCCGGGCACAGTGGGGCCCGTTCAGATGCCGTGCGGGCTTCTGGTATAAGTAGAAATCACCAGGCCCCATACAACATTTTGCTATGGGGCCCTGTGATTTCTAGTTACGCCCCTGTTCAAGTGCCTTAACTATTGACAAAAATGTAACTTATTTGTGTATCACTCGGCTGTAGATCCTCACATTATCTCTAAATTAGTGCTGACACTGTCCTTCCTTGTGGAGGGTGTCTACTTTTGTTCCCCATGGTCCCTGTGTGTGTTGTAAAGTAGCCACCGCTCCAAGTTATCTCTTGTAATGGACTACAATCTCAATACAAATTTGTAAACTAAACATGAGATGGTAGTCCATAACGGCAGCAAGCTTGGATTAGTGGATGCTTTACAACACACACACGGACCACGGGGAACAAACGTAACCACCTTCCAGAAGGAAGGACAGTGTCGGCATGAATTCAGAGATGATTTGAGGATCTACAGCAAATAAGTTACATTTTTGTCATAAGTTAAGGTACTTGAATGTATTTTTAACATTTAACTCCTGAGTTTAGTGTCACTTTGAGGGAGGGTTGGTGATTCTGGGCCAGCACAGACACTCCCAGAAGAGGAGAGGACTATGATGTGCAAGGAGAGAGAGGATGGTGCTTGGGAAATTACACTTTATGGAGTTACAATTCCCTAGCATTTTCTAAGGCTCATTGCAAGTCAAATACATTTTTAAGGAAAGGAAAAATACTGAAAGTAAGCATTTAAAATACTTAATTTTTCTGGGCTTTTGTTCAATTTTTTGGTGACAGGGTCTTCTAATATGTGGATAATCTATGTTGTTTGTTGCATGAACAGCTTGGTTTTTAAATGAGGTTCAATTTGTATTCTTGTAAAACAAAGACAGCTTGATACTGTAGGTTCTGTATGTGTTTATTAAGATATACTAATGAAAAATATTTTTGTGTAGAGCATGGATTTTGAGGAAAATATAGATTACATGTTTGCAGACTGTCCCTTTTGCCACTGTACACAAAACATTAAGCTTTCATTCCATTTTCTATCTATCTTAGTACATTGTCTCGATCCTCTCTTACTATAACCTGCTTAAAATTTTCTTGCTTTCCATTTTAAGAAAAACCACCGCAAAGAGCTATGTTTTTACATTAACATACAAGGGGAAGCCTGGCTGCTTTATAGACAAAGCACATTAGGATGTGGCATTGATGTGACCTGTACCACTGGCTGATATTGTGTCACACGTTTCCAGTGATTAATGGCCAGTGGAACAGGTCTCATTTGTAAATTCTTTTACACCTACAGGCTACAGACTTTTTTTTTCTGTCTTTAAGACTGATAGCTTTAGAGTTCGTCTGTTTCACCATCAACAGGCATCGCGTTAAGTTCAATGTTGTAGTTTGTGGTGTCACCAGATCCCAACCATCCAATTGGTGTCCTGTTGAAGGACGGCCTGCTGTTGACATTTGGGTTGAAGACAGTCACATCCTCAGGTTCAGGTCCAGCATCAAATTCAGGCATCTGGAAGGTCATTAGTTTTGATGCTTTCTCATACCCTCCATAAGGCATTGCAGACCTAAAGGCAAATGATAAATAAGCCTAATTAGACTGAATATCTTTTAGGGCATTTTATAAATGCATTGAAAACATCTATTGATGTATTTAAAGAGTTATTACTTAAGTGAATGTCAAGATGATGAGAAGTGATCCCATGATGAGCAGCATGTTCTCAAGTCAGAATACCAGAAAGCTTACATCCTATTTCTATGGAAAATGTAGCAGAGGATATGCAACTGCATTGCATGACATGTGGTTCAGGTGGGATCGGTGCAGGGAGGAAGGGTCAAGACTAGGGATGCACAGATACTTTTCGAGTACCAGTGCAGATACTTGGCATTTTCATGAGAACTACCAGGGTTGCAGCAATTGCAGCTGGGATCTGGCTCTGGCACTCCACCACTGTCCTGAAATCATTAGTCTGTATTGTTTTAGACAAAATGTCACATGACAATAAACAAAAATGTATCAGTACTCATACTTGTAAGTACTCAGCAAGTACTAGTACTCGTACTTGCAAAACTGGTATCGGTGCATCCCTTTATTTATCGGTGTAGGTTGGACTTGATGGACTAATGTCTTTATTCAACCTCAAATACTATGTAACTATGTAACTATGTCCATTAAAACAGAGATGTACAAATCCCAGGAGCTCCGTGTGCTCCTTACAAATGACAGCTGCCTCTCTAGTGTAGTCTTAGAGCTCAAAAGTATCGGTACATGTACTCGTACTTGTACCGAGTACTGTACTTGGTATCTGTGCAACCCTAGTCAAGACCTAGTGTGGCGCTTGCCCTGTTGCAGCCCTGTGAATAATGGGAACTGAGGTCTACTCTCTAGCACATACATATGGAGAAAGCTTTGTCAACAGAAGACACGGAAGATAACTGAGTGTGTCAAATATCTTTTTGGGCAAACACATTATTCTATTTGTGTATAAACATAAAATGTATTCCCCCTTAACCTTCTCAAGGAAAATAAATTCAGAACAGATTATCATTCTTTACAGTTAAGGCCCTCCATCTCCCTTACTAATTTAGTTCTTCTTCTCTGGATCCTTTACAGTTCCAGGAAACCTTTATAAAGACCTGTGCCGAAATGTTGGTGCAACATCAAGATAATACATGAACAAATTTAACTTCAGATGGTGAAGGTTTACATTACATGCTGTTTTATGTCTATCAATCACACCAAGCTCTTTTGGTCAGGTTTAAAATGTGTCAATACCCTCCATGACTAATTGAAGTGTATGTATAGTTCAAATGGAAGATTAACCTCACATCTTGTGGGAACTGTAAAATTTAGAATTTCCCATCACTTTCTGTCTTGGTTAAAATGGTAATTGGAACAAATAGGGAGGGTGAACCAACCCACCAAGAACACAGCAATAAAAACTTGACAAGGGCTGTAATATTTCCCTATTCTATCTAAATCTAGAAGAAAATGTTTTGGCACATACAATTTAGATGTATAGACATCAAGTACTGAAGCAATACAAAATCCCTGACCAGCAACTGAAGCCTGCGGGCCCATATATGAAAACAAGACCTTTTTCAGATGAATTGATTCCTAACAAACACCTGCCATCTAATATTTACTATATGCTTGGTAAAGGCTTCGATTGTTTATAAAATTCACTTATACATAATAAGATTCTAATAAGATAATAAAGATTCTGGATGTTCATAAATTCCACAAGGAAAATCTCTTTTATTTTTAAAAACTGTGTGTAGTTTTTGGGAAAGTGAAATCAACTCTTTTTTTGTTCTCTAATAATATGAATGTTATAACCCAATTCCCACTATTCAGATAAAGCTAGTTGTTATTATTATGTGGAATATCACCCAATGGAAAAGTTGTTGAGCGTACGTTCTTACCTGTTGAATGATTTGAATTTGCTAAGTTCAGCCTTGGAACCATAGTCCAACAAGTTTACGCTAAGTTTGGTTGCCTGCTGTGGGTCAGTTCCCAAAGCTTTGTCCCATGGGGAAAGGTAGGTCTTAAAAATAGTGATCTGTTTTCCACCTTCACTTCCTGGTTGTCCTGACTGACCATCTGAAATCACGCAATGGGTAAAGCATAAAATAAAGTATTTAATGTAAAAGGGGCAAAAAGAAAACAGAAAGCAAAATAAGAGTCTTCTAGAACAGCAAAAACTGCAGAAAAGGGAGAAGAATAAAAGGAAGCAGAATGTAAAAACTGAACGAGATATAACAGCTGTGCTAATGGCAGTTTAATAAAGCTAAAAGGAGGTTTGAGAAAAAATTTAAATAAACCATCTATATGTGATATAGAACCTGCCTGATACAGTACAAAAACAAATATAGTCTTTGCTGCTTTGGTTGCTCTACATTAACCGTTTACATTTTCCGATAGTGGCTGGCAAGTTCGGAATGTAATTAAAGGCCGAGCAAGCAGCAATGTACTGATTTTGCAGATTTTTCCTTTTTCAAGATTAAAATCACACACAAAGTTTAGTGATAAAATAGTCCTATGGAATCCAAATTATTCCACTCCAACATTCCTGGTGCCCTCATTTTTACTGCTCCTCCTGATTCTCCACCCTGCAATCATAAAGCAGAACAACCCCAATACAGATTCCCTTTTAAAAAATCAGCTGACAAACTTCATGGCATTATGTTTACAACATTAAATGTTTTAACCATTATGGAAGTAATATCATTTTGCCATAAATCGTGCCCTATAATTTACCGTGCACATGAATGATCTTGCAGATCTTCCAGTGCTGGTGACCTATCTTCACATCTCTGATCTGGCAAGTGGTCAACTGGACCCTTTCACTCAGAAGCTAGGTACGAAAATAATTTACATTGTAGCAAGATATGTTAATGTACAGTTAACCAAAAAATTACCTATTTTAGATTGAATATCTGATTTGGTATATTGATTTGCTCTTCTTTTCTAGCAGGATTAGCTAGATTGTTTTGGTTTGCGTAAAGTAGCAGGTTAGCATTGTACTAGTGTAGCGCCCATCACCTTTTGTGATGTGACTACTAAGCATTGAGTGATAGCCAGGGCTGTAGACAGCCTGGCTGGATTTGTAGTGGCGACTAAATAGTTAATCCCAGGTGTCTAACATTGCTTGTACCCCCTGGGCGGAGTGAGACTCTGTCATAGTATAGGACAGCCAATGGTGGATACTGTAATGTATGTACAGTACAGCAGCCAATCACTAGGGCTCTCTCAGCCAGTGGTGCCTGCTGGGACAGTGTACATATATTGATTGGAGCTGCCATGTGCTCTCTCTCGCCAGGACCAGCCATGGATTAGGGCTGGGTCCTGTTCAGCCTGCCCCCCAGGCTAGGCCGAGGTCTGGGGATGGGCATGGGCTGAAGCGAGGGAAAAGGTTTCCCTGAGGCCTCCAAAATGGAGGAGGCCTGAGAGATGATAAGAGGAAGAGAACCAGGACCAGTGCAGGCTCTTGAGGTACTCTGGAACTATGTGGGCTTCAGAGCATGGTCGGTGTCTTTCCTGGATTGGGGATCTGCATCCATCAGGACTGTCTGGTACATCAGTGGTTATCTGATGTGGTCGGGTGGATCTGCATTGCTACTTTTACAAGGTCCGGTGAGTCTGGAGCTTCTGATGGTTACCCCTAGACACCTAAAACCCCTATATTGCTTGCGTTGATGAATGCAGGAATGTAAATGCATGAGCTAACCATTTTTGTCTAAACTGTGAAGCAACATTATATATGCATCATGTGCATGATTTTTCCATATATGGCATTAGTGGAAATATGCTTTTAGAGACTTTTTGGTTGATAAATACGTTTTGCTGTGTAAAAATCACACGCACCTAGTGCGTGCGTGTGTTTAGGTTAGTAAATCACCCCCCATGTATCCATTTCAGAGACAAGGCAGTCTGCTGCAAAACAGAAGTTCTGCAGAGCATGAGAAGAGATACGGATTTAAAAGGAAGAGCAGCAAAGAGAAGGGAAACAACCATGGATTACAGTAAAGTATTGTTTTATGTTAAAAAATCTGAGGGTTTAATGTCACTTTAAGGCCTCATTCACACGAGAAACGGCCAGCACATACAGTTCCGTGCTGCATGCATGGCCATATCAGGCAGCTCCCGGGATTAGTACGCAGCCCCTGTCCTTCTCTATGGGACTACGCGGCCGTACGCCACCCTGCGCTCACCCGCTCTGCATGTCCGTGCGGTTGTCCGTACTCGTACGCTGACAGGATGGATCCTGTCTGCGTTCCGAGCCGGGACACACGCACCCATACGGACCTGCACTTGATGTAAGCGTAGGGCGGCGTATGGCCGCGTTGTCCCCTAGAGAAAAATAGGGGCTGCGTACAAATCACACGCAGCACCTGTCCTTCCCGGGAGCTGCCTGATATGGCCGTGCATGCAGCACAGAGCTGTACGTGCTGGCCGTTTCTCGTGTGAATAAGGCCTAAAAATGCATTAAAATACCTTATAGAAGAACTCCACAAAAACTTTTTAATAAGCCTTGCAGTGGGGCTACCCCAGCAGTGCAAGGGTTAATTGCTCATTTGTGTCTAGGAACAAAAACAACAAAGATATAATCACCTGAAGCTCCGAGCTGGCTAGCTGTCACAGTGCTCCCTCCAGCCTATCTCCTCCTCCTCCACAGCAGGATAGGAATGTTCCTCAGCATTCTCATGTCTATACATTAAAGGGAATTTATCAAAACTGGAGCAGACAAAATCTGGAGCAACTGTGCATGGCAACCAATCAGCTTCTCTCTTTTTCATTTTCAAATCTTTACTGAACAAACTAAAGAGAGAAACTGATTTGTTGCCATGGGCAACTGCTCCAGATTTTGTCTGCTCCAGTTTTGATAAATTCCTCCCACTTTATAGACGTTGATGATTGACAGGACCTTAGACTGCTGCAGAGGAGGGAGAGAGACAATGGAAGGACCAGTCTAAGAAGAAATCAGCTTGGAGCTTTGGGTGAGTCTTACTTTTTTTTTTTACCTACACACAAATGAGCACTTAAAGGAGAACTATGGGGTCAGGGCTTTACCCCATAGTTCTCCTGAGGGTCACAGGAGAACATAAACTAGCGTCCTCCCGTGACCCAAAGCTCAATATACGGCGAGCTGAGACACCGCAGCCGGGACGGATCCCGACATTGCTGTCGAGATCCACCCAGCTGCGGGATTGACAGCTGGCTCTGCCTATCGAGAGGCAGAGTCAACTGTGCCCGCCCCCTCCCCTGTACGTTCCGCCAGTCAGTGCCGGAGGATTGGACAGGGGAGGGGGGAATCCCTGCAGGGAGCCGTGAGTGACAGTCACGGCTCTCTGCACGGATAGATCGAGAAGTGAGCGAGCGACGGTATGTGTTCGCTCACTTCCCAATCTACTAAGCCGACCTGTAACAGTTTCATTGTCACAGGTCGGCTCAGATTATGAGGCTGAGGCAAAATCACTCGCCTCATAATTCTCCTTTAACTCTTGAAGTGCGGGGGTAGCCCCACTGCAAGGGTTAATACTAATTTTTTTGTGCAGTTCTCCTTTAACTATTAACAAAATTTTATCTTATTTGTGTATCACTCGGCTGTAGATCCTCAAATCATCTCTGAATTGGTGCTGACACTGTCCTTCCTTCTGGAGGGTGGCTACTTTTGTTTCCCATGGTCCCTGTGTGTGTTGTAAAGTGGCCACCACTCCAAGCTTACTCCTGTGGTGGACTACAATCCCAATACAAATGAGTAAACTAAACGTGAGATTGTAGTCCATCACAGGAATGAGTTTGGAGTGGTGGCTACTTTACAACACACACAGGGACCATGGTGAACAAAAGTAGTCACCCTCCAGATGGAAGGAAAGCACCAATTCAGAGATGATTTAAGGTTGATCTGATGATTTTTCTTCTGTGCCTTAGTAGAAAGGGGAAAATCCATTGATAGTAAGGCTTTATTAGCATTTATTTGTAGTGCAATCTCTGAAAAATATATCCTTAATGGCAAATCTTTAAAAATGTCACATTCAATTCAATTCATTCAATTCAAAAGACATAGGGTTGATTTACTAAAGGCTGATATTACCGTCACTTTGCAGGGGAGCTTTCGCTTAGCTTAGTGAATGTGGTGAAAATTCACTTTGCAAAGAATAAGCAATTACAAGCAAGGAAAAAAAACAAAAAAACTGTATTTTGCTTGCACGTTATTGGATGCTGGAAGTCAGAAGAGCTTCTTCTCATTCGCTAAGCTAAGGGAACATTTCCTTGACAATGTAATAAAGGTTTGGGTACTGGGAAGTATTGAATATAATATACTTTAGTCTATGAAAGTTTTAAGGAAAGAGGAGTAAAAGGACAGAAACCTTACTATATGTCATCATGTGAGAATGAATGCTAATTAGTCACCCACTGTTAAACATTGCTTAATATATTTGATTTGCAGCTTCTTTATTGCATGTATGGTATGTCCTTAGTGCATATACCTTGCCAGTATTCACTACTATACATAAAGCATATAAACCCTTGAATATTTACCTGCACTTTACACTGTTTGGTTCATCAAAGGACAGTAAGAAAAAGGGAAGTACATCATAGCATCCAATCACTAATCGTCTTTCCTTCATAAGCTGTATTATGAGATCTGATTGGTTGCACTGGTTACTGCACTTTCAACAATATACCTTCTTTCTCAATATACGTTATACATACAGCTTAATGAAGCGTATGTATAACTTATATTGTTTTGAATTAAGTCAGATAACCAATATCGGCAGCTAAATGTAAACAGCAGGCAGTAGGCCTGATAATGGTTGACCCCTAGTGATGGCACCAGCCTTCTGCCTACTGTCAATCAGCAGAGGAGCAGACCTGAAAGAGGAAGTTCATTGGCTACCGGCTTTGTTCCTAGAAAGATTGTCAGACCAGCTCCTTCGATCAGCTGATTGGGGGATGCCGGCCGAAAGAACCGCCCAAAATTTGCACAGTGTATCACCACCTTTATTACCGGTAATATCAGTAAATTTAACAAATACAACAATTTAAAAATTTGTGAATGTCGTCCTCGATTAAAACCCTAATCAATTCATTTTTTTCCTGTTTGTGTCCCAATGAAGAGATTTCCTTTCATTTTGTGTCCTGGAAACACAGCAAGAAATGAGAGGAAGTCTCCCCCAAAGTGAGGGGAACTCCCATCTTAGGTTGGCCATATACTGTTAGGATTTTGGCTGCGGGCTGAATAATAAAAAAGTAGATGTGTAAGACGGTTTTTATTGGTCTCATTAGATGAGTTACCTTCACATCTTGTTCTGGAGACTACTCTAATCTTTTTTATTTCCCCTGCTTTAATGTCTTAATGGGGGGTAACCGGGTGTAAGCGGACGCTTGTTCGTTTACAGATGGCTGCCCTAGGCTTGCATTGGTCAACCGATTGGGTGCACCTAAAAACTGACAGGCAGACCCGATGGGAGAAGCCATCTAAAAGGGGCCTTAAAGGAGAACTATGAGGTGAGTGCTTTGCACTCACCTCATAGTTCTAGCCGACCTGTGACAATGAAACTGCCACAGGTCGGCTAAGTAGATCGGGAAGTGAGCGAACACATACCGGCGCTCGCTCACCTCTCGATCCTGTCATGGCACTCTGCCATGACAGGGGAGGGACTGGATTCCCCCCTCCCCGCTCCGATCCTCCAGCGCTGACTGGCGGAACGGACGGGGAAGGGGGCGGGTACAGCTGGGTCTGCCTCTAGATAGGCAGAGCCAGCTGTCACTCACGCAGCTGGGCGGATCCAGACATAATTGTCGGGATCCGCTTTAGCTGCGGCATCTCAGTATACAGCTACAGCTCGCGGTATACTGCGGCGTCTCAGTATAACGCGAGCTGTAGCTCGCGGTATACTGAGCTTAGGGTGACGGGAGGACGCTAGTTTGTGTCCTCCCGTTACTCTACGGAGAACTATGGGGAAAAGCCCTAACCCCATAGTTCTCCTTTAAGTGAAACTGTCAGGATAGGAATATGAGAGCTGCAGGCTTGATTTTTAAAGTACAAGCTTTGGAGTTGCCACCCTTCATTTTGTCTCACTATGGTGCAAGTCATTAGAATGGTTGACTCTGAGCTTGCATTTTTAAAAATCAAGTTGGCCATTGCAGTTTTTCATGATTTTATCCTGACAGGTTCCCTTTAAGAACATTCATTTACTGAAAATATGCACATTGTTATCCCCCTATAACATTTGTGCATAAATGACCTATAAGCTTGTACATCTCACCATAGACAGTGTAAATGTAGCCTCTGAAGAGAAAATCTGTAAACCAGCTTTCCGAACAGCTGTTCCAACATCTAAATATAGACAGAAATGCAAGAAGTAAAAAGCAGGAGACTCGCTGGGATTATATAACCCTGTGAGCTTAGAGGCTTAACCAGCAAAATAAAATACGCCAAACCAAGCAGAGGAAAAGGTGCAATGGGCAAGTAACCTGTCCTGCACCTAACACCAAGAGGAGTATATTAAAGGTGCAGCTCCCGATAATGCTGGTGTAGTTCTGTACCAATGACCTCAGGTTGCTTTTTAAGACAAAATTAAACAAAAAATAAAACCATTCTAGATTTTTTTAATGAAAGATATACTAAATTTGACTACTTTTTATGTAATTCCCACAATTTAAGATAACTTCACAATTTGTCAGGTAGATGTTCTGAGCTAAGAAATCAACGTATTTACATATTCAATATTAAACGTTTAATAAATGTTGAATAATGTAAAAACTAGTAGTCAATTATAACTGCATTTTTATAAATGCAACGTTTTTAGTTGTTCGTAATATTGACTCTTATTTTAAAGGATGACACAATAATTTTCCTAGCTTCTTTTTCTTTAAAGGGATGATTGAGACTGCCATATGTGTTTCTATTTCCACCATCCTGATGAACAGACTCTTACAACATAGCAGAGACCCTTCTAAATGTTACTGTCTACCAACAACACATGCCAGTTGAGTTAGACAACTCTCAAGGAGGACCTTCTGTTTAAGCCTCAGTTCTTAGTCTCTTAGCATGAAGCTTGTGATCTAAATTTAATACCATTTTCACACTGGTGCAGAAGAGATAGATGGGAACCCTTCATTGTAGAAAAGGGCTACGCTATTATAAATATCTAGAGGACACCCTAGCAGCTTAAAGGAACTTTGCAATTTCAGCAGAAATTAATCTGCTTTTTACCCCATCTTGTATTAACACAAAAAGGTGCTTTCTGTTACCTTTCTGGTAACAATACTCCCTTCCCCGCATGCAAAACATACAGCCACTTTGTTTTAGGCCGTATCTGAAATTTTTTAAAAAATTGAATTAATTTGAAAAAATATTAAATTGCTTGACCCTTTTCACAAATGCAAGTATCATAAATAGTTTGCAGTTATTGGGATGTTTATGATTTATTGCGGTTGATTTTCTAAAGGCAAATAGTCAGTTCACTTTGCAAGGGAGTTTGCACTTTGCAGGGAACGTTTCCCTTACCTTGGTGAATGTGGTGAAATTTCACTTTGAAAGAATACCCAATCATGTGCAAGAAAAAAAAACAACACAATTTTTGCTTGCACATGATTGGGTGATGGAAGGCAGCAGAGCTTCTCATTCACTAAACTAAGGGGACATTTTTCTGCAAAGTGCAAATTCCCTTGCAAAGTGAACTGACTGACTATTTGCCTTTAGTAAATCAATCCAATTCAGTGGCAATTTCTAGGGCTCAGGTTGTTGAAAGTATCTGGCGCTGGCGGCCTAGCAGCCAATGATGTCAGGTATCCACCTCCTCTGAAGTCAATGGTGTAGTCATTGGCAACCAGTTATTGACATCCAGCAAGATCAAATATGTTCCCTGCCCCTAACATTACAGGTGGATGGAAGAGTATCTTCTTCCGTCCTCTCTTGTAGCTTGCTCCCCCTCCTGGCTCCTGCCTCTAGCCTACTAATAAAGTAGGAAAATAAGGTATGTGAGTACAGTAATATAAAGGGGCACGCTAAAGGGGACAAACAATGTAAAGGGTTACTCTAATGGGGACAACTAATAATTAGCTGTAACCATCAGGGTGCCCCCTTACATTGGTTGTCCCCATCAGCATGCCCCTTACATTAACTACGAAAATAAGAGGGTACTCTGATGGGGACAATCAATTTAAGGAGATACTCTGATTTGGACAACTAATTATTAGTTGTCCTCATCAGAGTGCCCCTTTACATTAGTTGCCTCCATCAAAGTACTGGTGCACTCTGATGGGAACAACCAATGTATGGGGGGACTCTGATGCGGAAAACTATATTAGTTGCATCCATGGGAGTGCCCCCTACATTAGTTGCCCCTATTAGATTTTTAATCAATTTACATATGTGCTTGTGTGACTACTCACCTTCCCAGTAATGTGTTGGTCCTCCACAACAGTCCAAGTTTCTCATGTGGCCCCTTGAAAAAATTCTTGTGCTAGAGTCTCAAAGGTCCCTGGTGCTCACTCAAAATACAAACTTATCTACTCCTGTATCTAGAAGATATCTGACTAACTGGCAATTATACCATTGTATATTGCTTAAGGCACTAAAGTGCCTCTCTGTCTGATATAACATGCTAATAGAATGTTATTGAACCTAAATGGATGAGTGTCAATATTAGGTTTCATCAATAGGTGGTGTTGTAGGTAAAATCTGCACTTTCCGTCCAGAGGTAAAATTTAAATTAGATTTGCAGGGAGTCTTATAAAGCAGACAGGCATCAGATGTAAAATAATGAGACCACTTTTCATAAGCTCTCATTCTGGTTATAATTCTGGTTATAATTATTATCTACTAAGATTTTTTTATTAGCTCCATTCTTTATCTAAGTATAGGTAAACTTTACCAGTCCCTTTGTGTTTACTGTATACCATCCTGTGAACTGCTGCAAATAATATGTCCGTGCTATATAAATAAAAAAATGATAGTTGAAAGTCTGTGATAATTAGATTCCTTGTACCCTGTGAACGCTGGCATATCTGAAGTGTAATTATAGCATTTGCCTTCATGCTTTATTCAAATACTGCAGCATTAATACATTCTAGCCACGTCATATTGGCATGTTCGACCCCAAGTGACCATTCAAGAACTCAAAGTGATAATGACAAACATCTATATATCAAGATGTTAACACTTTACATCCTTACCAAGGAGTTGTCAGTGAACACATCTGGATTGTTCTCCCAGATGAATTTTTCCACTCTCTTTTGGCGAAGCTTGAACATCTTGGAGCCTTTATTGCTCAGTAAAGAGAGTTCCTCCAGCATAATGTCCCTGGGGACACTGATCTTCTTCCCTAAGTTTAGCCTGGAGGCATCATGTTCTCCGTCAGTTAAAGCTAAAACAATAACAGTCGTTAGATGTTAAATATTACTCTTTAAAATCCTATCCACCTATAACTGTCAGTAAAAACATTATATTGTGATCCAAGCCTTGGGCAAATACTGTAAGATTATCATGGTATTATCAGGAGATTATAGGGATTCCAGAGTCATTGGATAGTTCTGTTCTCTAATATATCAGTCTACACTGCAGGAAATATCTCCTTATTCACTCCTTTCAGTAATGACACTACAATCTGTTTCTCTCTGCTCTCAGTTGTGGTTTTCCTGAAGAATAAATATCTTGCCATAGGGTATCTAAACCCAAAAACAATATATTGAAGTTTACCAATCCTTAAATTCATTTTTCTTTAGGCTTTTTTTTCTTATTTTCATCTGCTGATCCCACTAGTAAGTCTGCTGTTTTTCAACTACCTTTAACCTACGTCCAACATAAGTGGCAGATAGAAGGTTGAGACAAACCATTTAACATTGACAGGAGTGCTTACAATGATCAGCATTTATTTATTTATTTATGTAAAATCTTTATCCAAAAAGGAAAACAAACTGTTACTGTAACTGCGTAAAAATTGTTAGCTGGAATTCACATTTAATTTGTTAATCAAGTCAATCTAAATATGCTAGTGTATCTAACACTACACTCCCTACAGGTTGACAATGCTTCTGTCCAAGGGTGGCTCCATTGCTCCTCCGTGGCTCCATTGCTCCTCCCTAGAGTGAAGCACCCTAAGACAGAAGCTGTGTTACTGGCCAGATCACCAGGTGAAAAAAAGCCTATAAAAACCTAATGCAGCCACTACATTTAAACACTGGTAAAGTGCAATATATTAATTATATATTAGGTTTTTTTTGGGTTTAGATACACTTTACCCAGACAGTGCTCAGGGTCTCCAACTGTTGTGTTGACAGCTTTTGTTCTGATGGCCATAAAATATTAATACGTCAGTTAGGCCTTGTTCACACCATCCTCAGTGCGTTCCAGCCCGATTCTGTCTGGAACGCACTGGATCGCATTGCGGACGGCTCAGTTTGTTGTGGGGCGGGAGGTTGCGTGACGATCCATTGAAGTTAATGGCACCACAGCCACGCCCTCCGGCCGCAATGCGATCAGCAGCATGGGAACGCAAGGCACATCACTGCCTGCTGTGCGGTCCGATCAGAAAAAATGCTGCAAGCACTATTTTTTCTGATCTGACTGGACCAGACCGCAGGCATTGATGTGCCTTGCGGTCCCCTGCGGCCAATTGCATTGCGGCTGGAGGGCGTGGCTGCGGTGCAATTCACTTCAATGGACCGTCATGCCCCCTTCCGCCCCACAACAAATTGAGCCATCCGATTTGCAATCCAGTGCGTTCCGGCCAGAATATGGGCAAAATGAAAGCATGGAAAAGGGCAGATTCCAATTTTTATCTTACAATAATAAATTTAGCATTGAACTATATGACTGAATGATTACCACATTTCACAAGGTTGTTGTATACATGGAGGCTATTGACAACCTCCATAGCAAGACGACTGGAGTGATAACTGGAAAATTGCACCAGTATTCTGAATAGACTCCTGATATGTATTTGCAATTACATCATGTCACTTGTGGCAAATTATCTCATCAAGGTGTGTTGTGTGAGATGCCCATGATGTCATAATGCAATTAAGGAACAAAGGCGTGCCTCTTCCTTAATTTTGTAATGGGGGACACAGGGATGAAGGCTACAAATCAAGTTCAGTTATGGTGGCACATTTCTAAATACCACATTACTGTACACAAATAGCACAGCTGGAAATAGGTTATATACATACTTACCAGTTAGTTCCATGATGAGTTTTGTGGACTTTTTCCTCTTGTTTGGTGCTGGAGTTCCTGATAATGGCATAACTAAAAAGGCTTTGTTTTGATTTTTATCCTATTGAGAAAGAAATTGTTAAATAATTAGTAATACATATTTAATATAAATAGCAGCAGTGCAAAAATTATTATACTGATGACAGAGCACAGCTTCAGTATGCTCCTTATAAATGTCCTCTCTGCTTCAGAGTTCTGAAGCAAACAAAGCCACATTTATTTTAATGACTGTAAAAAAACAAAAACAAACATAAAATGCAGACGCATCATTGAATATTTACTGTGATGTCCTGTTAACTGCTCTCCGTTATAAATAGAAACCCTTGTTTATTTAATACAAGATGCATAGAACTGCATGACCACACGGGCCTATGGTTATTGAAGTAGCACAGGAAAGACGAAAGTCACTGAAAAATGTCTATTTTTACATGTTTAAAATGAGATAACCAAGACAATTCTGGTTAAAAAAAAAAATCAAAGGACCAAAGGGCTGCGCTAAGGACATGTGAAGTAACTGTACATTTTGCTATAATTTTTATTAAGTGCTGGTGTTCTAAATAGAATATGAGCAGTTGATGACAAACGGTGCAATATATTCAAAAGGAGTGACCATAACAATGACCTGACCTGTTACTTCTCTTCACCATATTCCCTGATGAAATTATTTTGATGAAAGGTGTTTGGTGGAGGCAGGGATGTTATCATGCATCCATGCCATCACGCAAAGAAGTAGATGATGATCGAAGTGCATCCACTTGTTCCTACTTTGTATTTTTGAGTTGCTTTTGAGTATTTTATGCCACTTTAATAAATCTGCATTATAATCACTATTTAAAAAAATAAAAAATTATATATATACACATATATATATATATGTGTGTATATTTGCCTTCTATGATTGCACATTAATTGGTCAAGGAAAGAAATTCAGAGGTTCAATAAAGAGGATCTACTAAGGGAGAGATTAAAATGCTCACCCTCAGGTCTACACTTGAGGGTGAGTGTCTGTCTTGGAGTGATAGTGGACACACTCACACACATTGAATTGACTTGTATTGGTTGAGCTATAATTTCTCATGGAATTCCATTGCACTGATTTGGACAATTTGGACTGCGTCTGCTTGAAGTTTGACACTTGGATTTTGATATGTATGTGCTATATTATTCACAAAGTTGTTTATTTATAGTAGTACTAAAGGCTGGGGTTTTTTTTTTCCATTAATGCATTTTCTACACTAAGGCAAAAAACACCCAGTGTTTTTCTAAAACCCCCGTTCCCCCCACACTTACCTGTAACTGCTTATATCCTCCACCGCGACTGGGAAGATATTTGGGGATTCCCGAACTTCCTGGTTTTGTGGGAGACTACTGAGGGCAGAGGATCCATAGGCTCCTTCTGCCATCAGTCAAACTGTGACTGCAAGGGTGGGGGCACGGCCGGCCGCATGCTGTGTGTGTATATAGATGCACACAGCTAGGTGTGGGCGCGGCTGTGAGCATGCACACACGGGTGCCTCCACAGCAGCTGTCTAGCTGATGGAGGCACCCATGCAGGGGGGGTGGGGCTAGCGGTTTGGAAGCTTAGATTCTTTAGTAACACCTTAGATCCTTTAGTAACACCTTAGTGTCAACAACTGAAATGCAATTAACGGGTTAACTGAGAGTTCACACTGATGTTTTTATATAAATGCTGTAAATGTAAAAGCGTTTTAGCATACAAATTAAATATTTAGCTTGCATTGCTGAAAGGAAGAATTAAATATTTAGATATTGTAAAATGCCACCTACTAGTTTGTTTTGGGTAGAAAGTAATTAGGGTGCCTGGCATGTGAAGTTATACATAATCTCAGAGTCCCTCAGTAGAGATTCACTATTTCAAGTTCCTGTGTTGGTTTACTGTTTTCTGTGTTGATTAAAGTAAAATATGAAACAAAATAATATGAAGAAAATATGGAGTGGGGAATAGTTAAACGCCTGGTCAGTTTTTTCTTTGTCTGTGTCCCTTTAGGGAGATTTCCCTTCACTGCGTGTCCCAAACACACACAAGGAAATTGGTAAGTTTTTCCAAAGTGAGGCGCAATCCCCTCTTAGACAGTTGTCACTGGGACCACTGCTGTCCTGGCCATTACTGTAAACTTTTGGATTTCCTGTCACTTTTTATACCTGTGAAGATGGTTAGCAGGACATATAGAGAGAGTGAATCTCCTCATTAGGCATACTATAGACTGCAGTTGCTTTATAAAGCTTTCCACTGAAGTTAATGGAACTGTTTAAGATCAGGCAATAGCAGGATTTGGCGCAAAGGGTGGAGATTAGAGGAACTTTAAAAGCGCAACATGGGAATAATATGGTTATTTTCATTACAATACAGGATTTATATAGTGCCAACAGTTTGTGCAGGACCTTATAAAATAAAGGAATACTTTACAGTTATAATACAATTCAAGACAGGACGGTTAGAACGGGCCCTGCTCATGAGAGCTCCCAATCTAAAAGGGAAGGGCATGTGATACAAAATGTAGCAAAAAGGTGTGTGGATGAGTTGTTTGAGGATAAGCTTCCTGAACAGTTGAGATTTCAGGGATTACCTAAAGGCAGACAGAGCAGGAGATAGCCATTCAGTGTGGGGTAGGAAGTCTCCTCATGCATCACTTATCTACTCACTGCCATATCAGCAAAGATGTCACACCACTTCCTCAAACTCAATCTCTCCCTTCGACTACTGTAACTCCCTCCTTGTTGGCCTACCACTACACAGGCTATCCCCCCTTCAGTCTACCATGAATGCTGCTGCAAGACTCATCCACCTTACCAACTGTTCAGTGTCCGCCACCCCTCTCTGCCCATCTCTCAAACGGCTTCCAATTGCCCAACGAATAAAATCCAAAACACTAACAACTACATAGAAAGCCATCTAAAACTCTGCTCCCAGCTACATCACCAACCTCATCTCAAAATATCACCCAAAATATCCTCTCCGCTCCTCTCAAGACCTCCTGCTCTTCAGCTCCCTCATCACCTCCTCCCATGCTCGCCTCCAGGACTTCTCCAGAGTGTCTCCTTTCCTCTGAAACTCCCTATATCAATCTGTCCGCTTATCTTCTACTCTGTCCACCTTTAGGTGATCCTTGAAAACTCATCTCTTCAGTGAAGCCTATCCCACCTCGACATAATAACGGTCCTTTTACTTCTCCTACTAGATTGTAAGCTCTCATGAGCAGGGCCCTCCCAACCCTCCTATATTGAAATTGTATTCTAACTGTACTGTCTCCCTCCATTTTGTAAAGCACTGCCCAAACTGTTCACGCTATATGAATCTTGTATAATAATAATAATGTTCACATTTGGAATTGCAACTTCAACGTTTATTTGTACATGTGTGCCATTTCATTGATTCTCCCTCCAGTAGATATTTTCACATAAGGGTGTTTGATCATCATATCTGGATAATCTCTGTTTCTCTAGTTTTTTATTCATCTGTGCTAACTGATTGACTTGTATTGACAGCAGAGCATTGCAACATACTCCTTGTGCTGTGCTGCTCATTTGGAAAAATGAGCAGCACATGTAATGAACAAACATGAACCACACATACATTTACAAGCTAAACACAGAAAGAAAGTTTTGAAAACATTATTATATAAATTTGAATAAATGTACATTGAGCTGATCAAGTTCACATTACTGACGTGGAAGAATCACACAGCAAAAATGTCAAAAGTGTGTCAGTCATTTACGAACAGAAACTAAAAACAAGCTCAGTCATGAAGGGGTTAAACATCTTTAAAAACAATATAGAGTCCCTTGAATTAAATATATTTGTAATTCTCAAATTGTGGCAGGATCATGGTCTTTGTTGATGTGTTTTGCTGCACTAGACTATACGTGGACTAATAATCACTTGTAATGAAGCAGATCCATGCTTTGTAGTAACTGGGGGGGGAGTGGCACGGGCACCTTTACTAGTAATAATGGGAATTTTCTAGTGCTGAGTGATCATTTCCATGTCTATGGGTAAAACAATGTAATTCTCACTGTGTCTGGCTTCAATGCCTTTATGTTCATTGTCATAATTAATTACTTCTTTACTTGTTCTGGGTCAGATGTTAGCTAACGTCACAGGAATTTATCATTGATTAGTTAGTTCTAAAAACTGTGTATCTTCCAAGGCTTCCATACATAAAAAGGACTATCCAACACTTGTTTTTAGTTTTGGATTACCTTGTCTTTACCATCTTCAGAGATTTGACAACACCATGTTTATTTAAATGTTAGACCTGGACACTTAGCTTATTTTGCAAGCTGCCATACTTTGCTCAGGACAATATAATTGGTCTTATGGTGACTGCATGCTTAGGCAAGATTTGCCATGGTGCAGCTGCATCTTCCATCCTGGCCATTTTAAATCCAAATAGATTCTAATCAGCTCCCAATGTCTCTTTCCCTTGTATGGCCTAATTATTGGTAGATTAGTATTTCTGCCCACTAACTAGAGCATGAATAGGATCCCTACAAAATTTCACTCAAGATGACAAATAAATAAGTTCATAAATTGCTATCCAAGAAACACTGCAATGATGCTAACATCAACAGTCCCAGTAAATGTTTTCCTATTGTGATATTTTTGTAATCCAAAGAAATCATCAAACTCTGACATGCGATTCTAGATGGGCCTTCAAACTCACATTACGTGATTATGTACTGTGTAACTTTTTTTTTGGTGCCAACATCAAGAGTCAAGCACTCACTGTGTCCAGTATAAATCTTCTTTATTTACTTCATCACACAGGATAAACGCCACTCTTGCTTACATGTTTCAGTGACATCTGACCTCATCATAGCTAACTGTGGTATGTGTAAGGGATGTTTAGATAGTTTAGATACCTTAAGAATGAGATAGTACATACACTTAAAATGGATATCAAACATTTTGAACATGTCACATATATATAATCTCTTTTTTTGGTATTATGGAGACAGCAAGAATCCTACAATGGGTGGAAAATTCAGAGCTGTGTACTACAGAAGGATGTCTTGGTGGAGCCTCATAATTAAAATTAGGCTCACTTTGCCAGTGAG